ATGTGATGATTAGTACTTGAGATATCAGTGGAAAAGCCGAAAATTGATTAATCATTATGCAAATTAGGTAATTAATATTGTACAGATTTTTACCCAAAACTAATCAAATCTGTGCATTAGTTTGGAGCATCTGTGTGAGAAGTTTCATCAAAATCCAATGAGTGGTTCTTTAGATATCAGTGGAACAGTCATGGAACAGCTAAAAATCAGCTAATTATAATGCAAATTAGGTAATTAATATGCATGGATTTTTACCAAAACCTAATCAAATCTGCGCATTGGCCCAGAGCATCTATGCACCAAGTTTCATCAAAAACTGATGTATGGTTCTTGAGATATCAGTGGAACAGATGGACACACATACACACACACACACACATACACACACACACACACATACACACACACACACACACACACATACAGACACACTAACTGCAAAGACTCCCTTTTTGTGCTTCGCACACGGGAGTCAAAAAGAGAACACGGATATGACGTTCATCGTATCATGAGAATAAGAGCTGATTTATTTACGTCTAAGGTCTCCTTGATTTTAAACCAATCTGAATCTATGTGCTGCTTAAGTTCACACCAAAGTCACATAAGATCCCTTATATTTATCCGCCCTTGATTATACTTACATGTTTCCAGTGCTGCAGATATGGTAATAAAATTTTTCCAGCCGGGTCCACATACGGCGATGCTTTAATAGCCATATCAGGAGTGGGTCGGAGAAAGCAAAGCGGCCGACAGTCGGGATACTCCCTTGGGATCCACACACAAATTGGTATATTGTAAACATTGCCTGTAATGAAACAAATATTATTGAAAAAAAACATAAACCGATAAGTACATCTCTGATAGCAATTACCTTGACGCATTTTATTACTTCCTTCTCAATTTAATTTTTTTTAGAGATTTTGGCTTTGAAATTGGCTACCCTCAGAATAGACCGTTTTCCGTTCACTGCGAGAATCACGCGTTATGCGTGAAATCGAACGTAAAAACAGGACAAACAAAGGTCATAGCGTCGTAGTGGTGTCAAACATCGCATGGGATTCGACAAACGCGAAAGTATTTTGGGGGCATTTCCATGCTTAATAATGTGCTGTACACATTTGATGATAGACAATTTCGATTAAGTAAGGGTATTCAAAAGCAATATTCCTCTGTTGATGATCGGCCGGTCAATGTGAGTCATGAAATAAAGAAATTCAAGTTCAAAATCAAATCATTTGATTTTTGCGGCAGACGTTCGACGCGCTTCGATCATGCATCTCGCAAGATCTCGCAGTTGAACGGGAAATCACCTTCAGAATACAGAGGTTCAAGTTCAGATGTCTGAATAGAACCCCAGTTTAGGTCAGTAACTCTCTAGAACCCCAGTAAAATGTTCCACTGATTTTTCCGGACTAGATAGTGAAATTCGTCAACATTTGTTTCTATCAAAATGAAAACGCGTCGACAACGCGTTCAGATTCCATGTAAACAAAAACGCATATCGCATGGAATGCAGCATAACATTTGTGTTGATTTAAAGTTTACAGTAGACTACAGAACTTACCCTCTCAGGTACCATGAGAGAATTTTAATTTTCAGTTGAAAGTAAAGTAGCCGGGGTCCGAGAATCGTAGTTGATCAAATCGTTACAATACAGACACTGCCCCTTTCCCTTTCTCAATTTTTCAGTTACCACTTCATCTTCGCACGGTCAAAGTCACTTCCTTGTCAACCATGCCCAACAAAATTTGTTCCTAATATCTTTATGCCCCTAAAATATTCTCTTCGATTTTAGACGTTTCAGAAAATCGATCCCTGGGGCTTAGAAATCCGCGGATCCGCAGAAAATTCTCATCCCTGTATATTTTTATGCAATTTTTTCAATAATTTTGAACCCAATAGAAATAATTTTTTATTACCTACAGGATCAACATTTTTTTTAAAAATCTGCCAAAAAATTATGCACCTTTGATGTGTGAAAGTTGAAAAAAGTTGACTCTGGTGTTCAAAGGGTTAAACAAAGATTGTGCCTGAAGGTTGCTGGTTGAACGTCAAAAATACCCAACAAATGTTGGTGTAACATTTTTTTAATTTGTCTGAAATTTTTGTTAATTTTGGAGAAATTGAAAATAATTTCCCATAGGCTATGTACAGCAGTTAATAATTTTAAAAAGATTATGGAATTTTTTTTGAGAATTTATTAATTTGAATAGATATTGTCTTACCTTGGTAAGTAATTGGCACAGTGCCAGTCAAGTTCATTGTCTTTATGAGGCGGCCATTACTGTCCTCTGTTATCATAAAAACAAAAGAATAAATTATAATGTCGCTACTTTTTTTGCAGGTACTGTAAAATGACTAATTTTCACTGGGTTTAAATTTCACTGATTTACCATTTCAGGCATATTCAGTGGGTTTTAAATTCACGGTTTTATCATTTAGATAATGTGTTCTATGCTAAATTTTACATATTCACTGTGTTTTAATTTAGCGCATTTTTCCAGTCAGCGAAATAAGCTAAATTAAAACCCAGTGAATAATTACCCCCTTTACAGTATTAAGACTTCTTCACTTCTTGTTTGGTTATTGTAATACGCTCACTACAACAGAACCTCTAAAAAATGTGATATCATTGTTTTTTAATTCTTTCAGTGTTTTAAATGGTTTGTTAAATATTTTTTTTTTTTATTCAACATATAAATTTACATAGACAAGTACAAAAACAAAACAAAAACAGCCAACAGCTACATATAACAATATAAACTAATACGCTAAGTATTGCGTTAGTGGTCCCCATCGGTTTCTGAATAGGACACTTTTGTCATTGAATCTGTAAATTAAACACTTTTTTAACTTCACAAATGAATAGTCTGAAAGAGGATACTTTTCTGTCTTGTCTACAATCATATATTAATTGTTTTGCAATGATTATAATGTAATTCAAAATATTCTGAAGATTAGAGAATCCAGTAATGGTAATATCATTTGTCAACTATAAATGCATGTTACTAGTTTTGTTCCACCATTCGACGAAGTCTGCCCAAAACAATTTAACACGTTTGTTAAATATATTGTAAACAAAAAACACTTGGAATTTAAAAGGAATCATGTGAGTTGTGTGATGATCAAAAAATTGCAAGAAATAAGTTTGCTAGAAATAATAAAGTTATTTTATCAAATTTTACTTTGAAAATGGGAATTTTCTCAACTCCGAAGATTAAGCCCTACTTATCATAAAGGCCTACTAGAGCTGGAAGACAAAAATGTCTGCCTAGAAATATACAATCCCCCACTCCACAAGAAAAGCAATTATCTTGTTCCAGCTAATGCTATGACTGTTGTGGTCAAATGTTAATTCATAGCAGCTTGCTCACCATGACAAAATGCATCAAAATCTGGAAACAATTAAACCTTTATATCTGATATCTTTGTTAATTTCTTTTCGTAGAATTTTGGAATAAATAAATTTACTGGAATTATACATAGGGAATGAAATTAAATCGTCACAGCAAAAAAATAATGTTTAGATAAATTTGAATATGAACGTTTGACAATTGTGGCGCTTTTTTTTAGGCGTTTTGTTTACATTCATTATAAGCTTTTGGTGTAACAGCAACTTCTACTCGCTTTCAGTGATGTTGGGGTTATTCACGTTCATTCAATACATTATTCCCCTAGTTGTTCTTCCCTAAACGTGCATCGAACACGAAACTTCTGTTTGGAAATTAACTATTTGCACATTTAAGAGTCACAATGCAAATGTGCCATTTTAGTTAATAACTAGTTTTGATTTAATCATGTTTTCTAGTATTTTGTGGTATCACCTTGCCAAGTCAAGCAAGAAATTGTTGTTGGTGATAGTCAGCTGAAGAGGTCAAGGGTCAAATCATAACCATGAACCAATCGTAGTGCAGAAATATATAGATAGATCTTAGAGTATAGTTATATAAAAGAAATATCGCAAGGTGATATTGTAGGAAAGTATATGATATTTGGGTTGACTACTAAATATCAGTATTCTTACCTTTATCGTCTAGTCTTGGATTGAGATTTCTATAATCGGCAAGTGTTTCATGTACATCCCGCTTCACAGCGTTTTTATGTTTGTACTAAAATAAAACAAAATTTTACGCTGAGCATCAACATTTCTAATACAATCATTTTCGCGTCAAAATTTGGTGCACAATTTTTATATTTTAAATCTTAGATGAAATCCCCTGGTATTGAAACAAGGGAACATTTTCAACAGACATATCTGCACTTTCATTGACCAATCCCTAACTGTATAGGATACGAAAAAAAAAAGTTTGGAGAAAAAAAGAAGATCACTTACATTTTTAACCGCTGTGTGTATGAATCCTTTGCATTGTTCTGCATGTTCTAAATATGGTTGGTTACCAAGGATACTGGATGAGCCACGTCTTACGTAATCACTATCGTTAGAATCCATTGAAGAGATGGAATTAAGTGACGCTATACAGAGAAAGAAAAATCTGATTTGAAAACGAAAAGGAGGACATGACCTGAATATTTGTCACAGCTCGGTTATAACATGGCCAATACTGTAATGATGTTATTTTGATAATATGCAGAAACCAGAAAAAAAAAACATGTTTATCAGAAACAAAAATATTGTTAGGTCATTAACCTTTTCACCATACAAATTTCCATGTTGTTTTTTCTTCTTCAATATTTCTGAAAATTAACCCCAATTTTAGAGCCAACAGAAAAAATTTATTAAGTACATATTTTTTTTCCAACCTTCTGAAGGACAGTTCAGACTATAAACAGGACTATTTTGTGAATTTGTGATGAAAACAAGGAAGGGGTGGTGACAGGATTAAGATTATTTGATTTGCTTATACTATGTTACTACAATATTTAAAATAAAAAAACAACAACGAAATATGGGGTCACCAGCCTAGTAAGATACTGTGTCCAAAAAATGCCTTTTTTTGCCGACTAACTGTGATATTACTAACATTTATATAATATGTTTTTGAGCTTGTCATATATTGTCATTAAGATGGTGATATACTGCTTTTGAAAACTTTGAATAAATTGCAATATCATTTACTATATTGTACACAAGTTGGTATTCCATTACATGCACTGGAAATTCTCCCTCACCAGCCATGTTCTACATGCATAGTACCAGTAGTCATCTAAACTCAAATTTGATACAAACTTTCATTGTCTTGTTAAATTAAATAAAATCTGAGTATATGTACCATACCTATTGATACACTGCTGACTGTAGATGGTCTTCTCTGTTGCTCCAAAGGTCTAGAACTACTTCTTGCATACACCGGCATCTTTTCACTGAAAGCTGCTATGATGACGCCTAACAGACCGGCCGTGGTGAACGCGGGCTAGAAAACACAACCATAGAATTTTCTATTACCACAAACTGTGTAATATGTTATCTATCATAACGCAGACAAATTTTTGTACTCGGTAAATAGTCAACAGCAAAAGTAAAGCCCTCTATAAACTAAATGAAAACATAGTTGAACTCTGGTGACCTTGCCCTTTGTTATATAATATAATTCCCTTTAACATATTTTGTTTCAATATAAATATGCATTGTCATAATTAATTTTGAAAACAAACAAGTTTTGGGGTTGAACCAACAGTGGGGAATCAGTCTACCGTATGTCCTTTAAAGATGTAAATATCTTACAAAAACATTGTGCCTTATTTGTTTAATTATTTTAAGGACATAATTTCAGCTTTATTCAAGTAATTCAGAATATTTTAGTATAAAAACAAATGCTGC